GCCGTGAGGCGCTGCAAGGATGGGTGGTGGTCGCGGGTTGCTGAGGAGATGGAGTCTGCCTCAGTGGCCCGTGATCACAAATCTCTATTTAACTCCATCAAAAAAGTAACCTGCAGCGCCACACCTATTACCATCATTAGGGGAAAAAACGGTGATCCAATTTCCGACCCCCAGGAACAGGTTCGCAGATTTGCTGAGCATTTCTGTGAGGTCCTGGGGGAGGGAAAATCCCTCAGCCAGGAAAACATCGTGGCACAAAGTGAGGATGACCCTGCTGAGGCTGCGGTGCCTCAAATATTGGATGAAGTCACCCCCTGTGAGTGGCTGGCTGAGGTGCCATCTGCTGAGGAAGTATTGAAGGCGATACGGAGTCTGAGACCAGGAAAGGCAGCGGGCAGAGATGATCTCCCAAGCGAAATGCTGAGGGAGGGTGGCGTTTGTGCACAGACTGCCCTATATGACATCATAACAACAGTCTGGACCACTGGACGGGTTCCGCAGGATTGGAAGGATGCCCTGGTGGTCCCCCTTTTTAAGAAGGGGGACCGCACAGACTGTAACAACTACAGGGGCATCTCACTCCTCAGTGTGCCGGGAAAGGTCCTGGCAAGGATTATTCAGCATCGCCTTGCCAGGCACGCTGAGGAGAGGCTTGCGGAGCCCCAATGTGGTTTCAGGAAAGGGCGGTCCTGCACAGATGCCATATTTTCTGTCCGTCTGCTACAGCAGAGGTGTAGGGAATTCCAACAAGACCTACATCTCTGCTTTATTGACCTGGTCAAGGCCTATGATACCATCAGTAGGCCTGGGCTCTGGGTCGTTCTTCGTGCTTTTGGAGTACCTGACCCTCTGCTCACGATCATTAAGGACCTTCATGATGGTGAGCGGGCCCGGGTAAAACTACGTGGCCGGGAGTCAGAGCCATTCCCTGTACACCTTGGGGTGCGACAGGGATGTCCTCTGGCTCCCACATTATTTAACATCTATTTTGACCACGTAGTTCGTGAAGCCTTCAATAGCTGTACCGGGGGAATCTCCATATGGTACAGATATAATGGGAGGCTAATCGATGCCCGGGTGCGGTCAAGGGATGGCTCCCTATTGCTCAACCACGTTATGTATGCTGATGACTTGGTAATAGCTGCTCAGTCAGAGGAGGAGTTGGAGACGCTGCTGCTGAGACTGGAGCGTGCCACTAAGAGGTGGGGCCTTACCATCAGCCCCACCAAAACTAAGCACCTGCCTGGGTATTTTGTACCATCGGACACTCCACCCCCACAACTCCCAATCGGTGATGGGGCAGTTGTGGAGAGAGTGGAGAGTTTCCCATACCTGGGCAGTGTGCTTATGACTGGCTCCAGTTTAACAGCAGAGGTCTCACTCCGAATCAGTCGAGCGGCAATATCTTTTCATCGGTTGCGTAACGCTGTGTGGAAGCTACCTGGTCTGTCGCTCCGCACTAAACTTCAGGTCTTCTCGGCCACGGTCATTCCCTCCCTTCTCTACGCTTGCGAAACGTGGACCCCCCTAATGGAACATCTTCGCCGGTTAGAAACATTTAGGCTGGCCTGCCTACGATCCATCCTGGGTTTAACCAGACTGGATTGTGTGAGGAGCTCACAAATCCTTGAAAGATCTGGGCAGGGTCCCATCGGTGAGCTCCTCCGGCAGGCAAGGCTGCGATGGCTGGGTCATGTAGCCCGCATGCCCAGCCACCGCATGCCGAAACAGCTTTTGTTTGGCCGGATTGAGGGGGCTAAGCGGGCGCGGCACGGGCTAGAGAAGAGATGGAGTGATGTGGTACAGGAGGACGTGGAGCTGAGTGGACTTGCCGATGACTGGTACCAGCGGTGTCAAGATCGGCCTCTGTGGAGGAGGCTCGTGAAGGATGCTACTGGGCAGTTGGAGGCAGTCGCCCTCCAACAACAACGGAGGGCGGAGGAGCGACGCTCACAACAGCGAGCGGAGCGCCGGGTGGCTAAAGCACAGCAGGTTGGCACAGTAGGGGGCACAGGTGGTGCATCAGCCAGTCATCTCAGTCAGTCGACCCGTGGCACCTGGGTCTGCCCCGTGACCTCCTGCCAGCGGGCGTTCGACACTTCACGTGGCCTCAGGGTGCACATAGCCTGGCACAAGCGTCGTGGTGACGTCACCGCCACTTAGTGGCGAATGGCGGTTGTTGTTGTTGTGTCTGTATGTGTCTGTATGTGTTTGTATGTATGTGTATGTGTCTGTATGTGTCTGTATGTGTGCATGTCATTGCATCCCGGGCGTGGTGCCGGCCACCCACCTCCTCGTGTTCCGTCCCGGCCTTCACAGGTGCTACTCGCAAACAGCACTTGCCCAAAACAGTCTGTTAAAGTCTATACGGGGGATCTTTGCCTATAGATCTGTATGTATATGTCTGTGTATAGGGTGTGCTTGACCACATCGCTATCAAAAGGACGCAGACCCCTAAACCACATCCACACCCAACATCAACAACAACTACGTGCACACACAGATGCAAAGCATATGCACGCACTTGGAGAGAGGGACATGCTGCATACAAGCGAGACACTGATATAACAAAGACAAATACACCTAAAGAAATACATACATACAAATGCAGATACAACGTAGTCGTTTTACACAGTCACCCACGCATAACAACCACTGCGAGGGCAATACCAGCACCGTTTCGGCAAACAGAATTGGAGGAATAAATCCGCGTGACACACACAGACAGACACGCATTGAGAGAGACGCGCACACACATCGACTGAGACAAAGACGGAGGGGACAGATACACAGAGGGGCACGTGAGACTCTGCGCCTCGATGCAGCGTCACAAGCTGCTGCTGCTGCTGCTGGCGCTGCTGCTGCTGGAGACTGTGGACGCCGCCGAGAGAGATGAAGCCGGTGAGAAACCTGCTGCGTGGACGGATACGAGCGCGTGCAGAGCCACAGTGTGCACTGGGTACATTTGAATATATCTGCCGATATGCATTCGTATGTGTACGCGTGTGTATGTGTACACGTGTGTATGTGTACACGTGTGTATGTGTACACGTGTGTATGTGTACACGTGTGTATGTGTACACGTGTACACATACACACGTGTGTATGTGTACACGTGTACACAAAGGTCGTGATCTAAGCGTGGCTTCTCCCACTCCAGCGCTGTCCTCCAGACAGTCTCGTTCCTTCACCTGATGAAGGCCGCTTGTGTTGTGGCCGAAACGTCGTGATTTTTTGTTATTTTATTTTCACCTACGTGACTTTACCCAATAGAACCAAAGAATATGGATCCTAGCAGTCACGAAAGCTTTAAATCTAGAATTATTTGTGTCTGTCTCAAGATACATGTCGAACATACAGTAACTTTGCAAAAGTCAAAATGATCGTGAGCATCTTTGTGGAGAATCAAATGCACCACCTTCACGTCTCTATCCCTTTTTATCCACGTGGAGGGGGAGATGTGTGATGTATGAGTGCCGTCCGTCTATTTTGTCCCAGAATAGTTAATGAAGACCGACACGTTTTAATGTGGTGTGAGTTAACTTTACAATCCTACATCGGTAATGTTTGTCAGCATCTGGCAGCCAGTGGAAATCAGATTACACTTCCACAAAAAGATGGCATGTAAAGATAGATGTAACCCCAACACCCTAGTCGCAGGGGCATGTGATTAGGCGATCGTAGGATTATTTATCCTACTCAGATGGTGATATATTAAGTTAAATAATTACCACTGCTGCAAGATATAATGAGAGCAATATCCCTGTAGCTCTCATTCGTGTGTCTCTCTACAATGTAGCGAGAGTGTTTCATTTGGCAGCCGTGATCTGTCCGGTGAAGGAATAAAACATCCCTCAGGCAGTTTCCATATCTCGTGATCTTGCGATGTAACAATCCATAGAGCACCTACACACGAGCAGATTTCATTGCTCCATCTCCTTGGTGGTCACCCTCTGGGATTTGTTCTCTCCATTGACTGGCAATCCGTCGTTCGTCTCGCCCACTGGCCATCACTGTCTTCTAGCCATGACATCTCCTGCCCAAGCCCACGTACTTTTCTTAACCCGTCAATATTATGTCTATAACCTGCATGTCTTCTCTAATTCCGTGTATTCCTCTTTTTATCTCCCGATGTAAACCTAATAACGCAAATCGCCATTGCCTCTTTGTGTGTTTTCCAGCCTTTGTGCCATATTCTTTGTAAATTTCCACGTTTCTGGTGGATATTTTACGTAGGGTTACTAAACATTTTTTTTGCATTGCTGGTAACTGCACGAATACAACGAGTACAAAAAACCCGGTCACTGGTTTGCCGCAAATATACAAATGTCTAGAGAAACAAACATAACGTGTTTACCTTCTTTGCTGAGAAATTATGGGAGCTGCCACACGAGTGTATTGGTTAGCACGCTGAACTTGCAGTTCAGAGGTCGCAGGTTCAGTTCTATCTGCCGGCGTGGCGGCTGAAACGACGGTGCCAGCTTCTCAAACTGCCCTGCCGCTCTCCCCACAGCAGTGGCCACGGGGCCACCACAGTTATGTCGGTCGGCAGGTCCCTGTGGTTGGATAAAGCATGAGGTGCACACACCTCTTGCTATTCACATGTCACTGGATACCGTTATCCGTTCTTGATTTTCAGAACCAATAATCGATTCTCAAAGTTGGCCCAACATTCCATGTTTACTGGGCTGCTGTTCTTTCCCATTTCACGTGATAATGGCGACATCATAATAGCTACGTTGTCGGCAAATTTGAGACGGGTTGTGTTTTGTACATTTGCACGTGTGCTTTTCCCAGCATACATGCCAACATTGGGCCAGCTTTGATTGACTTTGGACGAACGTTGGACCAACGTCAAAGAACGTTGTTCCTATAGTTACATTTCCACTGGATTTCGTCTCATGTCACTGAATAACTTGGGCTTTCTAATCATTGAGGTCTTTCTTTTCTCCCCTAGTGACGCAAAAAACAAGACCGCATTGATATTGAACCTGCTATTTAATGTGTCTATGAATGTATACTGTATGTGTGTATACAGCTGCCCTTCAGTGTTCAGGGTCCCGGCTCTATGAAGTCACGTGCTCTTGGGAAGGTGTTGGCCATTATGAATTCAACATGAGCTTCGCATATCGGTAAACACGACATGACCATTATGAAACAACCCCAATGCAGCCATTATGAACCCGAGTCTGCCATTATGAACCACACGTCACTATGAACTCAACATAGCCATTATGAATATCTGACAGAGATGCCCAGACCCAAGGCTCGACCCTGAATCTCTGCAATGCTGGCTCATTGACTCAAACGTAGCCATTATAAACTCGACAAAGCCATTACAAATATCTTAAGGAGACAACCAAAAAAAGTTTCCTGAATTAACATTTCACACGATTGGGACAAGTGCCATTAGCGAGCATCTATGAAGGCCGGCACGGCATACAAGTGGGTGGTGTGGCCAGCACTTTGCTGGACCACCGTTTTCTCCCCAATACTGATGTTTACACACTGTCAGGGACTCATTTAACACTAAATCGACATAGAGGAGGCCCAGGACTGGTTCAGATATCACTTGCTACTGAGGTTAGCCTTGGCTGGGAATCAAATCCAGGATACTGGGTGCTTAACCACTAACTCCGCAAATCCCACACTTAAAAATAGCCACACACACACTCCCACTGCCTACAACCATCTATTTAGCCATTATGAACCACAAGCAACATGATGATATCTTTATCTTTGGAATTGTCTCGTTCCAGGCAACAGCAGGCATTTGCCTGCACGAGGCTCCACCTGCAGGAATTAGGTCAAGGCCGGGTTAAGGTTGAATGTCCTCTCGCCCCAAACCATGTGCACTACTATGTGCCACTGACCGTGACCTTGAAGCTGGCCTTGGCCTCAAACCTGACCCTGGCGATCCAAGTTAAAAGGGTGTTCTACCTCGAGAAACACAGTGAGTGATTAAATATTTTCACCATGCAAGGTGACCAAATCACCCGGAATGCAGCCAGCCTCGTCAGGTCTCGGGCTAAGCAGGCTTCAGCCGAGATATCTCTTGAATGGGCGACCACCACAAATAAGCGCGTCACATGGCAGCGAGGCTTCGTGGTGGGCAGCAGAGGGCAATGTCTATGCTCCCCAACCCGATATCACCAACCTGCACTTACCATCGCCGTAGTACGATAACCTCCACGACCCGCATGACGCGGGGCGCCCCTTGTCCAGTAGTGGATTTGCATGAAGGGCTGTAAAAGTACAACTACCATATTCTGTGTGGGGTACGTACAGTATATTTACGTATTAAAAAGGGGCATGGGGGAGCACACCTGTGATCCAGCTCTTCGGAGACGAGAGTTGGTGGATCGCGAAGAATTATGTTAAACTACTGATCTATTTGGGCATCGAGGTGGCCTAGAGATGGCAGTAGAGCATGTGGCTTTTTGGGCCTGTCTGTGTAGACTTTGAGTGTTATTCTTTTGTATGTATGGTGGTGGGTTTTGCCAGGTACTCTGGTACATACTAATTTTGAGATATAAGTCTCGGTTTGTGCCAGTTGCGTAGTGATAATAATACACCACTCAAGAGAATGTATTTACATGTATAGTTCTCCCCTCTTCTGGAATTGAGAGATATTCTGCTCCCCATTATAAGTCTCGGTAATTTGTATCTCAGAGGTGGCAGTTCTTCCCTCGACACACAAAATACTCCTTTAACAAATAATTAGCCAAATATCCCAATGCAGGACACTCTTGAGAACGAGTCTTGAAATTCGGTTCCTCATTCTGGGATAAATTACATCATTATCATTCGTATTATCAAGATCCCCATATACAGGACACAATTCGCATCTCTGCTGCAACATTTTGACAAATCCCGAGGTGCCCACTTCACACTTTTACTGGCCGTTGCACAACACAAAACTTACTGCCAAACACGGCAACTCAGACAACCGGATCTGAGTCAGCAACCCCAAAGCATATTTCTGCACCGGGCGCACCACATCCACTGCACTTCTCGCTGTGGTCTGTGGCTACTAGTTACGTGCCACCTTCTCCAGTCTGCGTGCGACCTGAACAACATTCGGTGAGAAACTAAGGGTGTAAAAAATCAGGTTACTGTTGAACAGCCGAACAACTGTTGAAAGTGAGCAGTGCTTGGCTGCCGACCAGAGACCGTCGATGTTGAGGTTGTAGACATCAGGAATTCGGGTCCGATGGTGTCGAAGCTGGAGTTCTGCACGTCGTCAGAGCTGCGGGTGACATTGAGACCAGGATCCGTGTTGGAGAGTTTGGGGGCTTGTAGAATTCGCTCCGTTGGTTGGCACATCAGCTTCCCCGATCGGGCCCCTAGGTGCCAACGAGGGGCAACTATGTGAACGCTGATATATTTCCCACCGCCACATTGCATTAGAGAACATGCGCAGGTTAAATACATATATTATTCAAACTCTTAATAAAATGTAGTGGGTTTAGACAGGACACGCCATGGACAGAAAGGTTGATGGCCGACGGACAAAAATTAAAAGGGAGTGGCATGCAAGGAATGGAACCCGTCCAAAAGTACATCCATTGAGGAGATGGAGCGATAAAATCGGTTAATGTGCAGGTGCTACGTGGATTATTACATTGCAGAGGTGGCGGCTGCTACTTCATCCAGAAGTAGATTGTATGATTGACCACGCTGCGGTGGCATGTACATGATGTATATGTATGAGACCTTCAGGAACAACCCATAGAAGTCAGGGATACGTCTGATGAGTAGCCTGTGGATTTTGTAGACTGTTTTATCCCTTTAAGATAAACCTTAGGACCAGCGCACCGTGTTGCTACGAATGCCACAAAGTGAAAATATAGACGTTAAGAAATGACGGTCAAAACGTTATATGACGGTCATACAAATTAATTAATTAATTATAAAACAGAATGTTACATTTATAAATAAAGGTGAAATGTGTTTAAAACAAGCTATATGAGCAAATAGTAATTTGTTTTGTTTTCGATTATATGGACAAAGGCCAAAAAAGTTTAAGCTGAGATGCTAACTTTTAGATTTGTACGGTTGGCTATGTCTGGTGTGAAAGAAGTTCAGTGTAGATAAATATATTTAACACTCTTTAATGGTTAAATATTCGATTGGTTAACTGAGGACATTTTCTGATTATTTGGTTCTAACACTTTGTTTTGTATCCCCAACCAGTCATAGTAGAGGCTCCATGTCATGTGACCGCAAGGGCGGGGCCTCGTCAAGGCTTGCTGAGAGCTGATTGGCTGCCGCCGGACACACGGGGGCTGTCGGGTCACCTGGTCTACCAAGTTGCCGTGACAACCATGCCACGTGGTGCTGCCACGACTGCTGCTACTGCCACGTGGCACTTTACACGACCTATCGGAGCTAAACCTGGCAGAGTTAAACCTGACACAGTTAATAATCCTGACATAGCTCAACCTGACAGAGCAAATACATTTAAACCAGCTATAGTTCAACCTGACATAACAGTTAAACCTGACACAGAAGAAAGTGACATCGTGGTGAAACCAGCGATTGATAAACTGGATATATCAGTTAAATCTGCCGTGGAGAAACCTGCCAAGTCGATGCTTCAAACACCTGCCACATCGAGAACTCCTGCCACAGAGGTCAGTTAATCATAACGGTGTCCATGTTGAAGATGATGATTCATTGATGTTAAAATGATGAAGATGTTGATTATGATGATACCGATGTTGTAAAATTATCGTGATGTTAATGACATTGATGATTAAGAATATTTTTATATTGACGTTTTGATGCACATTCGATTAGCACGGTTGGTTACGCACAGTGCGAAATAAGTTCAACATATATACATGTTAACAACCATGCTGTTGATGCATTTTGTAATATATTTATTTTAAAGCTATGTAATTTACCAGCTACGTTACTGTTATATGAGAATTGTTGTTCAGGTGGTGGTGGGCATTTGACAATACTTCAACACACTAGTCAGCGTGATCCGGTGAAGGCGAGGATTACAAACGTGGGGGAGCACCGGACTAACGGTGGCGACGACGCGTTGACGCGCACACTCTGGCAGATGCTGCTCCTGTCACGAGCTCCCTCTCTACTCGTGGATGACCTCCCCCTGGGCGAGCGCGCCTGCGTCCGCGTGCGCGCTCGCCCGGACGGTGCCTCCATGGGGGGGCCCTGGGGTCCGTGGAGCCACGCCGCATGCTCCTGGCCCGCCCACATCACGGGTCAGCATCCACTAGCCCAGAACTAAAAACAATGATAACCCCCATCACTCAACACGAGCCTCAACCACTAACAACAATAACCCCCATCACTCATTACTAGCCCTGACACTAGCCTCAACCACCCGTCATCACCCAACACTTGCTCTGACAATAGCCTCAACCACTAACAATAACCCTCATGATTCAACAACAGCACTCAACACTATGCCTGACGTTAGCCACAACCACTAACAATAACCCCTATCACTCAACACGAGCACTCCACACGTGCCACAGCCACTCACAATAAACCCCCACCACTCAAACACTATCCCTGGTCGTGTTACTGACATGCACAGCCACTAACAATAACCCTCATTGCTCAACACTTGACGTGACACAAGCACTAAAAACGACCACAATTTGAATCCAAAGGCTGCCCTGATCAATAATTCAATTGTGTTAACCGTAAAAATACGCGCCGTATGCTTCATAGTAGGCGATTGTGTGCTGGCGTCATGCCCAAAATTGGCCAAATTAGAAAATTGGATTATACATAGCAATCATTGCCTCCTACTGTGAAAACTAGCAAGGGCCCTCCTGAATAAAAGGCATGAGACTCGGTGAGGCCCATAAGGGTGATCACCATCGACACTTTGTGGGGCAGAGGAGCGACGCTCACAACAATGGGTGGAGTGTCGGGTGGTTAAAACGCAGCAATTTGACAGGGTGGGGAGCACATCTCAGTCAGTCAACCCATGGCACCTGGGTCTGTCACGTGACTTCCTGTCAGCAAGCCTTTCTACACTGCACTTGGCCTTAAAGTGCACCTAGCTTGGCACAAGCACCGTGGTGACTTCACCGCCACTTAGTGGCAAATGGCGGTTGTTGTTGTTCGGGCTATGTATTAACTAGTCCCTGTCGTGGGAATGTGTGATTTATATCAAATGGGCTCATTCCTGCCAATTCACAATTAGCGCTGCTCCATTGTTCAACGGAGCGCAGACATATTTCACGTTGACGGGAAGTCATTATTACATTGGCAATGTCGGTCAAATAATGAACGCTTAAAATCGTCTGTGTTGTCTGCAACCTCAGACCTGCTGTCCCTTCTCTGCTTCACGCGGGACCTGACCTCGTTAGCCTGCGAGTGGAGGGTGGAGACCATCCTGAACCTCACGTTCACACTAACCTACCACTCCAGGTACTGCACACACATCTGTGAACAAGGACCTGGAAATGCCACACACAAACAACGCCGTGCGGGATATTTGACCACACCATACCACGCGGGTGTCAGTGCGGGTTGCTGGCGAGGCGCATACACATTCAATTAGAGTACAGCGCAATAATCTATTGGGCTGCAATGCCCTCCACTACAAGTTTAATACCCGAATACGTATATGCATGTACTGTATGTTGAACTTCTTTCACACCGTACCTAGCCAACCGTGCTAATTGGAAGCGTGAGGAACCACAGACAATGGCGAATGCAGCCAGGCAGCGCCAACCCCCCTCCCCCCAAGCTCTGCAGGCCTCTATATATATTAAGATGTTGTCGGCTAATGAATGAGTGTTCATGCATGTGTGAGGGAACCGGAGTATCTAGAGAAACCCCACAGTGTGCGATGGGGGGCACAGCTCTATCCCATGCATATGGAAGAGGTGGATTCTGCACTTTGGTGTATCGGCCTTCTCCTAGTTGGCCAAGACATGGCTCCTCGGTGCTCAGGGGAAGGAAGTTTGACGCACCTGATCACACCGACCCCGCCTCCACAGTGCTGGCTTGCAGGCCATGTGCATAGCTACTACCGCCTAAACATGTGGCTGAAGAAGACAGCATATATAGATTGTTAAATGACAAACAATTGAATGGCCATGGCATTGACCAATTCTCTTCTTATGTGTTTTATGCTGTGTATAAGCTAACATGTTTTATAACGTTAAAAGGTTATTTATTACTTGCTGCATCAACGATGAAGACAAAGACAAAGATAAGTATATTAGTTGTTCTGTTGTATCACCAACTACAATTGTATTTTTCACACTTCAAGATGGGCTTTGTAAATAATACATTATTGATAATGATGCTGGTAATAATTAGGGCTCACTCCCTGCTCTTACCTCTACAGAGGTAACATGGAATCTTTGTCTTTGCAGTGCTGGCAGCATGCCGTGCGCCCCAAACCTACCATCGTCACAGTTCGCCTCCTGTTCCCTTCCTCCTGCCGCCACTTCCGATCCTGTGAGGGCCGAACTGCGAGCGGAGACGTGGGATTCAACCTGGAACGTGGCGACCTGGGGTCCGGCACTGCTCAGACACGCGGGTAAACATGCGGCTACTAAGCCTACAACTATTGTGATACACCTGCACTGTATTCCACTACCACGCACGCACCCAGTATTATAAATGAACTAATGGTACATGTGCAACTGGGTTGAAGTGATGGAACAAGTGGTTAGTTCACTGCGCCGTGAACCTGGCTAGTGAAATATGAAGTGGTTGTGGAGAGCCAGACAAGCGGGGTAAAGTATGGCCATACACCTCCCATGCCAAAACTTGCAGGGAGGCCTTAATCCAGCAGCAAATTGACTAAGGGCACGTACAGTTTTTTTCAATGCATACATGCCAACATTACACATGCAATCATTCGTATACCTGCTACTACGACTGTTACCCCTTGAAATATAAATGCAACCTCTACTATACATGCAAACACTCATGAATCATGCCACCATCACTTATACAACCAATAACACACATCCAACCACTATTGCAACTCTTTCCCTCTCAGTACAGACACATCCTCCAGGTCACGTGACCTTGCATGCGGGAACAAGCAGTGGCACACTGGACGTCACGTGGTCATCACCTGACCCGAGGCTGACCAATCACCTTCGCTATGAGATCGGATACACCGATGCAGGGGGAGAGGCCCATTGGAAGGTGAGACACAGCCATTGGGAACCTGAAACATGCACCTTCAACCCCACATGGACATTGCGAATCCGAGAAAGCCATTATGAACTCGACATGTGCACTAATGAGAAATACCCACAAGCAGGACTTAACTCCAGAATCTCAGTGCTTCATGGACATTTTGAATCCAGAGGCACAGCCAAGGCCAGCACCTCCGTTATTCTGACACGGCCATTTTGAAACCTAGGCTTTCGCAACCAATATCAACCATTACATAGTTTTTTTCTAACCCAAAAAACTCCCCCTATATGATTATGAAACCTTATGAGACAGACACCTATGCCTGTGACTCAAACCAAGGACCCTCGGTGTCTTCAACAGACCCAACATGAGCCCCTCGGACTCGGGTCCCTCAACATTTTGACGGTGGTCGTGAGCGAGTGAGCAGGTCGTTCCCGTGGAGGCGTCCACGCAACTGGAGATGTCGGGTTTGAGTCCGGGACGGGGCTACTGGGTCAGGGCTCGGACCCAGCCCAGCAGCTTCTTGTACCGCGGCTCCTGGAGTGGCTGGAGCAGAGCGCGGCTGGGGACGGCTTCGCCTCAGCACGGTTTGTCCATGCGGGACCTTGGGCTGATGGGAAGATGCAGCTTAAAAAAAAAACAACGAGTGTTAAATTACGTTAGTTTTCAAAACAACATCAATTCACAACAGTTTATGTCTCTTCCTGAAACGCTGTAAGATATTTCCCGCGGCCAATATCCGTTTTTAAATTCCCCGGCCTTGCCACCATTGGCTAAACATCGTTGACTCTCACAATGCACCCCGCGTAGTCGCGTAGGTGCAGTTTTAGGTGACAATAGTTGTAGTCTTGGATCCCACAATGCTCCGAGCATGATGGTGTATTCATTTTAACAGAACCGTTCGTTGATGTCACCAGTGTGTGGTGGCACTTCTAAAGTCATTGACTACAAACTTTTTTCACTAACCGAACTTCATATGCGTGTTGGAAAGCCCACTTATTAATTGTCAAATCAGTTATTGTTTTGACTGCTTGCCAATACATTGTAGACCAACCAATGATTCGATATCACATGTTAGATTGTTAACAATTCAACAATGAGATGCACAATAAAGACAAGCCTGCAGACGAATGGGTTTCAGATTAGAGTCTTGATTGAGACTCATGGAGAATGGATTTGTGTGTCTCTGCCTCCACAGACATGAGGTCTTGGTCACCTTACCTTGCGGTATTCTTGTTTATTGTGGCGGTGGTCGTGATTCTCTTTGTGACAAAGACAAAGCTTCAGAGGTAATGTAACACACACAAAGAAAAAAGTATACCCATGAACACACACAACATGCTCTTATACAATAAAGACATACAAAGATCCCCCGTGTAGCCTTAACAGACTGTAGGGGCAAGTGCTGTTAGCGAGCACCTATGAAGGCCGGAACGGTACACGAGGGGGTGGGTGGCCAGCACCACGCCCGAAAACACATACACACACATTCAAAGTTACCTCTCTCACCTTTCTGCCCCCATCCCCGCCCTGCAGACTCAAGGCTCGCCTCTTCCCTCCGGTCTCCGCCATCGACTTCCCATTGAACCGCCTCATGTCAGAGTTCAGTGACACCGTCCAGGTTTGCGAGTACACACCTACTTACTCGATGTGTTTCACAGCAAACACAGCCCTCGGGCTTTTTCGATGCCTGTATCTTACTTGTAACTCTGCTATTGCTACTATAATGATCATTACTACAGCCGCTCTTGTCTCTTAATCTTCTAATCTGTCTGCTCCACGTTTCTAAATCACTATCACGGTGATTATTACAATATCCCTCTCATTGTCTGTTGTCTCATTATACATCTACTATTGCTATTATCGATGCCCTTATGGCATCTTTTTCATCACTCCATCGGGAGTTGCGCGTCTTGATTTTAACTCGAACGTCTCTGGGGACGTGGTCCAATCCGTCTCACCTTGCATGCATCTGCCTCACCGCGTGGTGTCCTACGCAGCCTCCTCACCCACCTCCTCCTCCCTCCCATCCACCTCAGAGCTCTTCCTTAATCATCTCTTTCCTACCTCGTATAACCCAACTCAACTCAAGAAGCCTGCTACCCCTCACCGTACATGGCATTGCAAGTCGAGACCAGGGCTCTTTGGCGACACTACATTTTCCGGCGGCCCACCGCGTGACATTGCATGTCACGGGTAGAGACTTTACGGTGTCGCATGGGTGTTGTGACTTCGAAAACGCCTGATCATCTCTACCTCTTGTTTCTCTTCGTTTTCATCTTGCTCGTCTCTGATCTCTTTGTTTCCAGGTCTCGTCTCTCTCGTTTATCTTTCCCTCTCTTTCGTATCACTCATCTGCGTCGCTGTTGAGCCACAGTTTGCAGTGGGCTACTCCCAGAGCCCTCGTGGACCTCATGTGGCTGGCTGCCAGTCTTCCAGTTGAAGAAGCAGGTGCGCGCGTGGATGAGTTCTCCTTTCAATAATCGCAAACTTCTCCCCCACCCCACCCGCCTTGCCGATTCCTTAAATGCAGGGCTGTGCAAGGGAAGTTTCACCCGGGTTTCCGGAAGACACGGAGGTCGGCGCTTGCCCCATCGAAGTTGTGTCCGAAGTCGACTCCCAGAGGCCGCTCCTCCACCCCCGCGAGGGCGTCAGCGGCGGCGGCGCCGGTGCCGGCGGAGGCGACGACGGCGACGACGGCGACGATTGCTCGCCGTCGACTCGCGATCCACTCGCCTCCCCCAAGCAAACGGCCATCCGAAGGGCCGCCACAGTGGGCGCTCGCAAACGCAGGGTGGACAGCGGCTTCTCTGAAGGAGACACGGCGTCTGACTCTGGGGAGTCGGACGCCGCTCGAGCCAATTTAGGCGAATCAGATTCGGTTGTAATGGATTTTTCTCAGCCGGGATTGGCAGAGCTCGATTATTCGGGTTCATGTGAAACGTATTGGCTTCATGCAGAATTGTTTGAGCTCGCTTGTGCGAAAACAGACTTGTCTCGGACAGATTTATTTAATCCGAATGCAGCTGAATTTGATTTGCATCCACCAAATTTAGCTAAACCAGAGTCATCTCTATCGGGCTTAATAGAGTCAAACGGGATGAATTCAGAAACAACTCAATTAGAACTGGTTGAATCTGATACACTCAATCCATATTGGGAATATAAAATGAACTTCGAATCAAATTCAGTCAGAGCTAATGAAATTGATCCAAGCTATGATCAAGCTGATTCAGGTGCATTAGAGTCACTTCAATTTGATTCAACGCAACTCAATGAAATTGAATCATATTTACCTGAATCTAGTTTATCTGAACCAAACACAGGTGATCCAGTTCTCTCTGGATTGGATTCTAAAACACAAACCTCTTTTCCATGTGGAATTACATCCAATGCCTCCGTTCCATGCCCAAACCCGGTGACTTTAACCCAGAATGACGGGTCAGTTCCTCCACACACAGGGCAGTATCAGGTCCCCCACAATGCCCTGCAGTGCACTCACCGCCCCCAGGTCTGGCTCGTGTCGGACCCTGAAGGCTACGTCATCATCCCTCACCACCTACTTTCAAACCTCGGCTGCTTAAATCCCAGCAGTCTCAGCAGTCTCGGAGATTGCGCTCTGCAATGTCCTCAACTCAATGCGGGTCTTGCCCCGAGCGAGGGAGATATGCCCACTCCAGGCTATGTCAACATGAACCTCCAGCCCACAACTTGACGTGGAGAAAGTTTCGGCTCCTCCAAGTGACTGGGTCTCGGCATCCAGGGCAGGGAGGGATGTTGCGCCCATCCACCGCTGGGCAGATTGGGAGGTACAGTGATTCAAGTTTAGACACCCCCCCCCCCCCAACTTAAAGCTCCTGCGCTTGACACTGACATTGGTGGAGAAGGGGTGAGCAGATCATAGACTATTTTAAGAGTGAGAAGTATGCATTATCATTGTGTACTTTTTAATATTCACATAAATTCCTTCAGTAAATAGACATTCACTTTGCTATTGTAGTATTTCATTTAGCCCAGTTCTCAGCTTTCCCTGCCGACAGAGCTCTTTCCGCTGTTTGTATAAAAAATCAAGCTGCTGCACGCTGCACACACCCCGATGAGAGTGGCGAGGACTGGCGTTTTAGAAAACTGACCCACAGCTGAAAGACACCACACTCGAAGGTCGCTTCAGTCAAACTCAGTGTCGCTCGGTGGGACACTGCTTGGGGAGGCAAATATTGACATGTGAGGTATATTGGTGATCTCTATATGATTTGGTAATAGTGTAGGCTTTTTCCCCCCAATAAAATAACTGCTCTATTTTTGTCATTATTACTCATTGCACTCTGGACCATATTAAACCGCTGTGGTCCGGGCTTCTTCAACAGAGGATTAGCGCAACTACTCCAACTCTCTCCTGAGAATCCCCCTTCGTGGCGATCAGACCTCGACATTGGCATTTACCTCCTGAACATATGCAAGCAGAGAGTAGCGTATCATTACAAGTCATAGATCAGTAGCTGTTTTTTACCTTTTAAAATAATCGCATTGTCATCTCATGTGGGGAATTGAACCCATGCATTGTATCTGGTTCGCGAGATCACCTGATGTTCCACCTTCACAGTTGCAGTGTTTACATGCAGTGTACGCCCCCACCATACTTCCGATTATCACGGTTGGCTACGTATGGTGCGAAAGAAGTTCAACATGCATACAAGTGCTGTGTTTTTATTGTGTGTGTATATATATAAACACGACCTGTATGTATTCTCTTTGTCCACAGGTGTTGTACAAATTGTGGTTTATATCGTGGGAAGCTGCTGACTTATGGTTGTGACATGCACAAATTCTAATTGCTGGCAGATGTCGTTTATTTTTTACACAAAACTGATTCTCCAAAAAAATCCCCTTTCTTTTACCCAACGGCAAAAAACCGGGGAAATTCTGCCGTGCGACAGCGCCACACGGTCGTGGTGGCAGCTACTCGCACTGAGACAAGGAGCATAGATTAACAATACAACTCCCGTACTCGTGAACTCGCTGAGCAGAATGAAGACGACAGAAATATCTTCACGATCCGTGTGTTTACGAACTGTGGGTGACTGCAAGTCCCCCCACAACAAACGACGTGTACGATTGTTGACGCTCGGTTTTAATTGCCAAAGGCTCCAACAGCCAAACTCAAGTTTAACACGTCGGCTTTCGAGACCAATATCCATAGAGGTTTTTGGGTTTTTTGGTTACAGTGTTTTAAAACCGAAACAGGAGGACTTCACTAGCATCGTCAGGCTATCGCGGCTATCGCCTGATGATGCAAGTTGTAATTACTGGCGAAACGTCGTACTCGAATTGTAAATATTGTGGGTTTACTCTCCGACACACCGGTGTGCTATACTAGTAACGAATTCGCACGTTTTATTTACGCGACAACCCTTACTAATTGGCTGTATCGGGTGGTGGCGGGTCTAATGATGTATTTATATTTACGAAATCGAACCCGATGACCTCTATTATGGAGCCAAACTTAAGCGGCTTTATCGAAGATGCTCAAGTTGTGCGCTCTTGTTTCCAGCCTCGTAAAAACCGCTCCACCCTTTCCTCTCCCCGACCATGGAGCCGGTTTGCTGCCCCCAATTCCACAACTGTGGTGCCGCACCGATGGCTCTATGTCTGACCTCATCGTTTGAATGTAACGGACTAATAAGAGCTGTTTTGAAAAAAATAAACCATGCATATGTGAGGACTTATTTTACAACTACTTTTCTCTGCTCTCAACATGCATAGAACATTAATTACACATACAGTGTACAACTTCTTCCATACGGTGGATTACAGAATGAATGTAATATCAAATTCACCATGTAACGCAAAGTGTTGCATGACGGGAAAATACTATTCTTGTAATAAAGAAAACAGTGTAAGTTGTAAATAAGAGCGGTGGCAACTCTCCACGCTCTGGGGTGAGTTGCAGTGAAGTTGTTTGGCCCAGACAAAATAAAAAATAACGATAGTGCAATTAAACAATTTTATATGATGCTATACATACACGCGGTTATTGCTTACCTTACTCGAATGGGAGTTAACACGTCCACGGTGTCGTCTGTTTTGATTGCATCTTCATGGACGTGCTCGCTGACATGTTTGCAGTCACGTGGGCAGTGAGTCGCTGACCCTCTACGAGTGAGGAGCAGTTACAATCATCACTAAACCACGCCGTGCATAGCACCAGCACGCTGGACACATTCACCCGGTTAATCCGCTCGCAGATACTCGAGACGTAACAGTTCTATGGAAAGTGGGCAGTAAACGAGCGCTGCAGTGACAGAATAGAAAATCAGGCAGACAAAACCCCTCCGCTATAATCTGTCCCTCCACGTACAAATGTTCTTGACAAATCCCATCAGCCACACGGCCGTCGAAGGGGCGCGCAGACGACGTGGCCGCGTACGCGCGCCACGTGCACTTGCCGCTGGGGCTGCAAGCAGCAGCAGAGGGCGACTCGTGAACGCGTCTCGACTCGCGGGATCTGCATCGCACTCCCATCAGTCCGTGCACTTCTACCATTGCACTCCTAATTGCGTGTTAACCACGAAATGGAGGGGTGGGGGGGAGGTGAATCAAGGAATTTACTCTCATTAGCCTGGTCGTACACAAAACTTATCTTTACAATTCAATAACGCAATGCGCATTACACTATGTAACGCATTTTTTGTCCCTGGTGTTGTATACGGCCATGGGTAATAAGTGTTATTTCGTAATTTCTTATACCTCAAAAGTATAGAAAATAGCTATTATTCTCCACAAACTTTGCTTTTGTGACCAGGACAGTGATATTTTTAAATTTACCTATTTTCAATGAGAAAACGGGCGAATTTCTGTATTTTCTTTCACATAAAGTCAGAAAAAACAACATGAATCAAAATGAACATCTATTTATACTAAAGTAATGCAAAACTGACGACAAAAAATGTAGAAGTCAGTAGTTTTTCGAGATTTACGATTACCCTGTAAATCACTTTAACGAATCAGCCCCCAAATGTAGTCTCCCATCATGTTCTCGTTATACTGTCCTTGGTAACGGCGTTCAAAGTTCAGAATATCCTGGTGGAAGTGCTCACCTTGCTCCTCCGGGTACGCTCCCATGTTCTCCTTGAATTTATCAAGATGAGCATCAAGGATATGGACTTTGAGGGACATCCTACAGCCCATTGTGCCGTAGTGCTTCACCAGTTTCAACCAGCTCCACATAGTTTTCGACCTTGTGATTGCCCAGGATCCACGAACCACTGCGACAAAGCTGTTCCAAGCCGCTTTCTCCTTACTAGTGAGCTTCTTGGGGAATTCATGCACTCCAGGATCTTCTTTATCCGTGGTCTGACGAAGACACCGGCTTTGACCTTTGCCTCAGACAGCTTAGGGAAGAAGTCTTGAAGGTACTGGAAGGCTGCCAACTCCTTATCTACAGCTCTGACAAATTGTTTCATAAGGCCCAATTTGATGTGCAGTGGTGGCATCAGCACCTTCCGGGGGTCCACCAGTGGCTCCCACTTGACGTTGTTCCTCCCCACAGAGAAGTCGGTCCGCTGTGGCCAGTCCTGCCTTTGGTAGTGTGCCTTGGTGTCCCTGCTGTCCCAAAGGCAACGATAGCAGGGAAACTTGGTAAAACCGCCTTGGAGACCCATCAGGAATGCCACGATTTTGAAGTCACCAATGACCTCCCAGCCATACTCATCATACTTCAAGGCATCCAGCAAGGTCTTGATGCTGTTGTAATCCTCTTTGAGGTGCACCGAGTGAGCCTGGGGAAGAGACGGGTACTCGTTACAATTATAGAGCAGCACGGCTTTGAGGCTCCTGGATGAGCTGTCAATGAAGAGGCGCCACTCATTCTGGTTACAGGCGATTCCAATTTTCTCGAACAGACTGGTCACATTGTGGCAGAAACAGAGCCCATTTTGACGGGTGAAGAAGCTGCAAAAAGGTTGGTGACGCTTCCTCTGATCCGCGACTTGCAAACTTTCATCCAACAAGTTCCACTGCTTGAGCCTAGACGTCAAAAGCTCGACATTGGACTTGATGAGACCAAGATCTCTGATCAAGTTGTTGAGGTCTTTTTGGTTGGGGGAGTATGAGTTTCTCTCCTCAGCTCCACCTCTGAAATTGTCATCTGGATCTACAATGTCTTCCTCGCTCTCTGACTTGCTGCTCTCTTCAAAAGACGGCTGCTCTCTCTCTGGTGGAGTGGGTACGGGGAGCTCATGGCAGTGTGGCACCGAGGCGATGGATGAAGGAAGGTCCGGATACGTGATAGCAGGTGCATTATTACAAGTCCGATGTTTGTAAGGGTCCACCATGCAGAAATAGCAGTTGCTTGAGTGGTCAGTGGGTTCCCACCAATTTCTTGGGATAGCGAACTTCATGGTTTTCTTTCCCCCTCTGTACCATCCTACAAAAATACATTTATTTCACCCATGACTAATGTGTAAGAGATTCTCGCAACATTTTTCATATATGATTTATTTTTCAAATAACATTCATAATTGTAAAACATTTAAAAATGATAAACTTTTACAATTTTACAAATTTTAACAAATTTAATAACGTACAATTCCGAGCAACAATTGTCCGTCTTACCTTCCAGAGTTTTTCGCATTGCTCGCAGGTGAAATGAGGTGCCCAGGGTTTGTCTTGATCCCTGACAGGCATGCCGAAATATGCCTTGTTGTAGGCCTCACACATCTTAGCAGATGCTTCCACAGAGTATTTTTTCGCTCTTGTCTTGATAAATTGGCCGCAGACATAGCAAAAAGCGTGTGCCGGATGCTTGCAGCCTCTTGATGCCATCTTAGACAAATGCAGATATGTAATCCACTTAGGCAGCTGGAACTAAATAGTACTGGTGGGCTTAAGGCCCCTGTATTTATACTACTATTTATATTACTGGAAAGTTCTAGAATGGTATAGAAGTTATTCCAAGTTTACTCAGCACTGAATCTATCTGGAATGTTCTGTAAAATTTCCAAATATCATTGTCCTGGTTACAAAAGAAAAGTTTGTGGGGAATAATAGCCATTTTCTGTACTTTTGAGGCATAAGCAATTAGGAAATAACACTTACTACCCAGTAACAATTTTTTTTTGCTACACAGTGTTATAATTGGAACACGGAAACGGAGACCAACCCCCTGGGCTCCCCGTTCCGACGACCATTCTACCACCAAATATCCACAGTGGCATGCACACTGCAAGAGAGTTACTATTCACGTTCCATTGCCAACGACAACCACCCACCCATCATCAACAGAGACCTCGACAATGCTCCTCGCCACCGTTTCGAGTCCCGATTCCCCTTCTGGGATCGCGCTGCTGTCACCATCCTCGACTCCCATCCAGGTCTGGGGGAACGCCGGCGAGCAGAGTGGGGGACAACGCGGACATCCAGGACGCACACCTCGCTCGGGACCCTGAAACACCGCGAACCTCCTGGCGTGTGACGTTGCCCAAACACACTGGCGGTGTGGCCATGGGCCGCATGAGAATATCAACAATGGGCGCATCTCCATACATGGGACATTAAAGAGAAGCCACGGTGTAACTGTGGCCATACAACAGCAGCAGCTCTGCGCTCAGCGAGTAGACCGCTTTAGCCTGCGCTCCTTCAATGGAGGAAAAGCAAAACTGCAACCACAAACCCTCTCCAGAAGCCCTGCCGTGGCGAGCGGACATTGGCATTTAGTTCCTGAACATATTGCTAAAACAATTAGACGTGCAAATATATGGGTACTGTTTCAGTCTCGCAACCCTCAGGTGGTACCAATTTCCGCTCTCTGGCGCATGGACTCTATGGAGCCGATGTGCCAATAGGCTTGGCTGTCATTGTTAACAGGACAGCTCCTTCCCCTCTGTGGTGACGCGAGGGAGCGATATCGCGACCCTATTATCCACGGCGCGCGTGCTCTCTGGATGTGTCGGTTGACACGCTGAGATGCCCCCATCTCAAGGGATTTTTTGCAAGCGAAATGTGTTCAAATAAATAAATAACCATCGCAATTTGTCCCTCTTATCTGCGGGGAAATATTCACGGATATTAGGAAGAATAGGGCCCAGGATAATAAGGGTTATCTTATACACGTGGAGAGCGTGCGTTCACTGTATTACTCTGAGTGTGCTGTGCGTGTGTGTGGGGAGCGGTAGTGTAGCGGTTAGCTCGCTGCGCTACCAACCTGGCCACCCGGGTTGGATTTCCGCTCACGGCCAACACTAGTGACTATTATCTGAATCGGTTCTGGGCCTCCCCTAGGTCGACTCAGCCTCAAATGAGTACCTGGTGCGGTGTGTAATAGACATCGCCACTGGGGAGACAAAGTCGACTGGGCGTGGTTGCTGGCCACCCACTCAATGCATTGTGTCGGCCTGAATAGGTGCTCCCTAAAAGCACTTGTCCCAACAGTCTGTTAAGGCTATATGGGGGACATTTGTCTTTACTCGATAAGTAATTCGATGCCTGGTATTGCAGGCACGGCAAGGGTAAATTTGTTGTCAAACAGCACTCACACTAATAGTAATTTATATGCAGGTGTGTGTGTGTGACATCAGCCATACTATTCATACTATGTTATTGTACGGCACTATAATAACACTGTAGCATATTCATATGATTATATGGTCAGGTTAATACGAATTAAAACATAAATGAAGGTGCGGTGGATGAGGCGTGGCCAAAATAGTTCGCGATGCAGCAGCGTTCTGGACTCGTCACGCTGATCGGAGTCGCTCACCGTGAGCATTCCAGTCGACTTGTGACGCCATCGATGTGTGAATCGATTGTAATCGATGAATCAATGCAAGGTCGTGTCCCCAGGTAACTTGGGAGCTTGTGGCTGGAAGAGGACCGCGAGAGAAAAGCCTGTGGTATGTTCGATGTGTGTGTGTCTGTAACTCGGCCCTCGCTCGCATCTCCCCCTCGCTCTCTCGATAATGAA